GGTTAGCATGTGTTGTTTTTTGATAGTCTTGTGTTTCTAATTTGCCATCATTTCCTCTGCTGATGTGGATATCCAGGAAGGGTAGTGTGTTATTGTTTTCTTCTTCCCTTGTGAACTTTATTCCTTTGAAGATGTTGATTGTTCACACTTCGACCCTGAGCTACATATATTCTCTTCTATTGATATATCTAATAATTGGGGATTTCAGGAGAACAAAGTATATTCAAGGTGTGGATTCTGATAGAAGGTACAGTGGTGTGCCTGAATTGGATTTTTTTAAATAATTAGATATAGTCTATGACTAACACTGGAAATGAAATCATTCCCCAGTGCTGATTTTTTTCTTCCAGCTCAAAACTGGAAGAAAAAGCTGTCTGTTATGTTCAGCAATTTCTTTCTAACGAACTGTATTAACTGTAATATCCTTTGTTAACTCCTGCCACTTTTTTAAAAAGAATGTAAAAATGCTCCCTTTTCACACTGAGCAAAATGCATATCTTTGTTTCAAATGTATAGAATATTTTTTTCGGACATTCTTATTCCTTGTCTCTCACATACGCTGATCTGGATTAGCAATGACTAGTTCCCCTATTAGAGGTTTACTTGGGAATGATATCATTTTGTCACACATGTAACCTTTTCCTGCTTGTTTACTGTTCTAAAAAACAGTAAGAAACATGTAGTAGAGAACACCTTTAGTTGTGAGACACATAATTGAATCATTACTTGAGAAACCAAAGCATTAAAATGCATTCTTGGATACATTTTGAAAGCATTATAGCCCTGTGAATGGGGCCAGATAATTTCTTTATGGGAGGAATCCAGTCTGTTTGCCACTCCCCACTGGCAGAAAATATACATCAACTGAAAGCACATAATGATGCTGTTTTTTATATCAGGAGGTAATGATTAAAGGAGGTGGACTGAAACGTGTCCCATGTGCTGAAGATGAAGATTTTATTCAGGCGTTGGATAAAATGATGCTGGAAAACTTACAGGTATGGATTAATTTTTAGTACAAGTGTGCACAGTGTTCTGTTTTACAAAACTCCCTACTTCTTGTGAAACTGTTGTTTCAGGTGTGAAATGGGCTGTTTCAAGTATTTTGAATGTGTCTCATGCTTGAAACAGAGCTGTTCAAGCTCAAAAACTTCCAAGATATTTAGAGCGTGCCATTTCGTACTCAAGCCAGCAGTGTGCACTCCAAGTACTGGTGGGCAGGTGAAATTTCATGCTCAGATAGTGCAAAGCAAAGAATTTTGCACACCCACAATTTTAGTGACTTGTTGCTACTAGCCACTAAAACTTTTGTTTTCAGCTGGTAATGAGATATACATGATACATCTTAGTGTGCTGACTCTGAATCCTAGTACTCCGTCAACTGTGGTTGACCCAACCAACCACTGTACTAGGGATCAGCAGGCTCTCTGTTCCCCCACAAGAACGTGAGGAAAACTTTCTAATTTGTACAATAGAAATGTTTTGCTTTTCTTGAACAGGGGTTCCTACAGGGAAAGGGTCAAACAAGTCAAGTTGGTGACCACAACCATGCAATTGAAGCCCCACCCTTTTCTACGTGTATTGCGACAGACACACAAAAAGGGTGGGGTTTTGATTACATGGTTGTGGCTATCATCTTGCCTTTTTTTTGACTCCCCTACTGTAGACCCCCCTGCTTCAGCAAAATAGTCTTAGGTGAACTTTTTGTAAATGATAACATCTTAGCAGGCTCACTTAACAGTTGCCACTCAGGGGGCTGGAGGGGGGCATTAAGAAAAAAGCCTCCTTTCTAGATATTAAGGTCCATTCAAATACTGTGATAAAGGACGATGTGCTTCATTACTTTGGTCTCAAGTAAAGTACAATTCTGTAGTTAAACTCCAGCTCTTCGAATTGTGCTTAGCAATAAGCCAGCAAGAATGAAACTCTGAAAGTTAGCCCAAATTGCCTTCTTCCTTTAAAAATGAAAAATGTTTTATGCTGTTTATGAGGACTGAACATATTGAGTCTGGTGAGTCTCAAGACACTAGTAGAAAGAAATCGGAGTAATGTGTTGTTTTTTCGCAAATTTTGTAAAGCGCAGTCTCGGATTTGAATTCTTGGCATGTAGCTCTCCTAAATCATGGCTCCCTTATGCATGTTCTTGATGTGAATACAGTTGTTTGCCTCCCTATGTTTGCCACCCTCACACTTCTAGATATACAGAGAAACACAGATATAAACCAGTGTTTTTCAAACTTGGCAGCTTTAAGTTGTGTGGACTTCAACTCCCAGAATGCTGTGCTGGCTAGGGAATTCTGGCAGTTGAAGTCCACATATCTTAAAGTTGCCAAGTTTGAAAAACACAGATCTAAACAAAATAGGGTGTAAAGTAGCTTTGAACTGAATGCTGTAATCCTTCACTCTGATTACCTTCTCTTGGTACTCAGACCTTTCAGCAAGCTGTGTTTTCTTTTGCACTTGCAGCAAAGAAGTGGAGAGTCGGTGAAAGTGCATCAGTTAGATGTTGCCATTCCTTTGCATCTCAAAAGTCAGCTGAAGAAAGGACCACCGCTCGGGGGTGGGGAGGGGGAATCTGAGTCTGGAGACACAATGCCTTTTGTCATGTTAACTCGGAAAGGCAACAAGCAGCAGGTAAGGATAGACCTCAATTAAATTAATGTTGCTCTTTTTATTCCTCATTTTCTTTATCCAAAATACTGATAGCAGGATTCAGGAAGTGACACTAAGGACATGGGGGCACTGCAGGAACCCCAGTGAGCAGAAAGCAGTCTCTTTCTTCTTTCAAAGATGCTGATTGTTGTAATTTCCCCTTTTGAAATGGAAGAAACGGTGCAAAGAACTGTGGTGGCAGGCTGCTTACCTTAGAATGCCTGCTAACCTGTTCATTTATTTCACTAGCCTGGTGAAAGCTTTTTAAAAGTTGCAGGTCCCCTCCCCCCACTTGTTTATTGATTTAAGCTTCAAGCAGGAGCACGTCTATTATTTTTTTCCTTAATAGAGATATTCTTCTAATGCTCTTGGGATGTGAAAATGATGAAATTGCTATTAAAGCAGCATAACTGCCTTAATTATGTTGTAGCAGTTTGCATGTTAGGTTAGATTAAGAGCAAATGTTGCTTAGATGCTTCAAAATTCAGCTCCTGCTACCTTGACGTGGTTGTGGGGCTTGCATGCTCTGACGAGGATGAGAGCTATGCTAAAGGAGATAAGAGAGAAAGGACTAGAGAAAATCACAAAATATAAAGACCTGCAAATAGAAGTAGAATGACTATGGCAAAAGAAAGCAAAGATAGTACCAGTAGCGATAGGCACCTTGGGTATGCAATCCCAAAACATCTGGAGCACCACTTGAAGATCATCGGCATTAACAAAATCACAACCAGTCAATTGCAAAAGGCAATTTTACTAGGAACAACTTATGTCCCGCGACGATACCTTTAACACCATCAAACAACATCTGCCTATCCCAGGTCCTTGGGAAGGACTCAGTAGGTGGATAAAAATGCCAAATCCAGTCTAAACATCTGGCTGACTGTGCAACCAACAATAATAATAAGCCAGCAGTGGTGTTCCCAGTGGTTATCGGCACACTGGGTGCCATACCAAAAAGCCTTGGACGGCACTTAGAAAATCTGCACATTGACAGTATTTCCATCTGTCAATTACAAGAGGCCACCCTGCTTGGATCCGCACGTATACTACGCCGATACATTACGACACCTAGGTTCTTGGGAAGAACTCAATGCAAATGAAGGCCAACACCAGCTAAGACACTGGCAGCTGTGATTTCATGATGATGGTGGTGGTGATGATGATGATGATGATAATGGATGACTGTGCAACCAACCATAATAACAACAACCACAACAACTTGTATGCTGCCCAACTCTCAATGACTCTGGGCAGTGATTTTACATGAGTTGGTCCTTCTTTTGCAAGACAATGACAATATGAAACATTTCAGATTAATTGTATTATGTGGATACCTAATATTTTAGACAACAAGAAAATAGTGACACACTTTGTTTTCCTGGCCATGCATAGCTTTTCAATGGAGAAGTTGTAACTTTATTTACATATAAAAATTAGTGGGATTAACTTCCAAAAAATTATGTTTTGGGATGTGGCTGTAAGTCCCCCTTAATATACATTTACTCATCTATCAGAGTAAAGCAAATGTTAATAGGTTTTCCCAGATGAGCCTCTGTTTCATGTAATTCAGTAGAATTAAATGGCCTGATTTTGCATTCTTATCCACACATCTTCATTCAAAATATGGTTCTCAAAATACCTTGCACCTGTACGATGACAAGTAGTGGTGGAAATTAAAGAATAATACTTGGATCTCTTCACTTGCCCTTGTAGGCAATGTTTAGTCAGGGTTGTCTTCCTTTCTTTGGGCTCATAGACTGACTTCTGCTCTTTCAGTTTAAAATCCTGAATGTACCGATGTCTTCCCAACTGGCTGCAAATCACTGGAATCAACAACAAGCTGAGCAAGAGGAACGCATGCGAATGAAAAAACTAACATTGGACATCAATGAACGGCAAGAACAGGAGGACTATCAGGGTATGAAGCTACTTTTAAGTCTTTTATATATAGGAAGCAGTTCAGAGAATCACCTTCCCACACTCTAATGCACTTGGGTTGGTTTTGTTCCTGCATACAAATGTACATATGGCTGCTCCAAAATACACAAGAAAAATAACACCTAAGGATCAATATGATCAAAAGATGTCCTTCAAATAAAAATCAAACAGATGTCTCTTGTAATTTGGAATGGGCATTATTGAAAGGTATTTTTAAAGTCCTTGTGTGCCCTTCACCATAGAGATTTACAAATGTACCTGCTGTTGGCTGCCCAAACAGCTAAAATTTCTAGCAAGTACTGTGGAACACCATTTGCCCATTCAATAAGAAATTTATTCTTTTAGGCTCTGCTAAACAGTAAAAGCATGTGCCTAACTTACAGGCATGCTTTGTTTTCATTTTCAAAATTACCTTTTGCTGATCCAACTTGAAAATCATTTATTAGTCATAATTGTTTCAAATACAGCTGAGATATTAGTCCCCTCCCAAATATTGCAAATTCCTGTCCAAGAAGTCTTAATTGTTCACAGAATGACATTTTTGAGGATTCTTTCACTGAAAAATGAAGGAATTTGGGAACTTAAGAGTCTTGCTGTAAATCTCTCTGACATTCTTATCAATTTAGAATGAACTATGCACTCCGTCACCCTTCAATTTATTTCTTAAAAATCTAATCCGCAGAAATGATGCAGTCCTTGGCTCAGCGGCCAGCTCCAGCAAATACGAACCGAGAACGGCGACCTCGTTACCAGCATCCAAAAGGAGCACCTAATGCTGACCTCATCTTTAAAACTGGTGGAAGGTAAGAATTGTCAGGTTCAGCCCAAAGAACTCCCCAAGACAGTGCAGATACAGTTCTGTTGCGTTTATTAGCTTCCACCTCAAGACAGAACCAAACTGAACCTAAGTTCCCAAGCCAGCAACCCAAAACACCGTGAATTCCTTAAGGTGGTGCCAGTGTCATCTTAAACTTCCCACGCTCCTGTTGGGGGCTAAGAGAATGCTTATATCCTCGAGCGCGGCCTTCATCCAACCATTCCTTCACAGAATTCCGGGAACAAGGTAGGATTATTGCATGGTTTTCAGTTTTCCCACCACTCCTGATTTTGGAACTGAAAAGTCTTTTAATCTATAAGGGGATTATATCCTTAAGCAAGAAGACATTTTTGCTGGAACCAAATGGTCTGTCTTGAAAACCTTAGAGCAGAAATCACTAACAGGTTGAAATTTTATTTATTTATTTTTTTTTGGGAAACATTACTGAAATGAATAGGGGCAATACGAGACTGGGAGAAAAAAAAATGTTCTGCTTTTCAGAGTGAAAACAATGTAAAAATTATCTGAAATAATTTAGAAGTTTATGTGAGCTTTTACTTTTAGAAGTAGCCATGACAGTGGGCTCAGGACTAGGGGGGATTTGTGTCTTCTTCATTGGAACAAGGTGGAAGCCATTCTTGACATGTAAGTCACACTGTAGCTCCTTCCAAGATCTACAAGTTCTTCAGGTTCTCCCATTTTCTTTGGTTGGAAGACTTCCTACAGGGGATCTGTCCTGCACCTCTAGTTTTAAAAGCAGATCCCTTGCATTTGCTGTGACATTCTGTTGGTTAAAGTGTGATAGGAATGAGAACAGGCAGAAATGTTTCAGCCTTAAAGTAATCTTACCATACAGGCTCTGAGCAGATATGCACATATATACTATAATTCATGTTTCCAGCTAGAGGCATGATCATATAAAAATATTTCAGAAATATCACCACTACTATATGTTTGCCCTTTTGTTCTGACAGTGAAGGCCTCTGTGGAGTCCTTGGGGTCTCTGAGCTTGGTTGTTTTCTTGCAAATGTTTCGTTACCTAGCCCGGTAACGAAACATTTGCAAGAAAAC